GCCTGCCCCCCGCCTCCGTGCCAGCAACGTGCTCTGCCGCCCGGCGCCAGGGTGAGCTGCAGGCCCGGCTCCCTTTTGCTGGCGTCAGGAAACGCCGAAGCGAGAGGCAGGGCTCCGGCGGGACTCTGGACCATGGGGCGGCGCGCGGAGAGGTGCCCCGGCAGGTCTGGGTGCAGCCTCCGTACCCACGGGTTGCGTGACTGAGCCAAATCCTGACGGAGCCGTCGCTTCTGCGCCTTTCTAGGCGTTCTTAGCGCCGCTCGATTGCAGCGCGGTGTCCTCATACCGCTCCTAGTAAGCGCCGTTCCAATTAGATTTGCAGAACGATTTTGAACAGCTACACAAGCTCCTGTTGCTGCTTCTACCAGCCTGTTTGTGCTGGTCATGTTTGACAAATCGCGTTTTGCCACTTGACGTCAGGATAGTGTATTGTATTTGCCCCAGGTAAATGCAGCCTGAATTGCGATTGTAGAAATGTGAGGTTTGGCTTCCCTCAAACCAACACAGTTATTTGGAGCTTCACATATATATGGTAAAGATCAGGTTAAATTTAGGCTCGCCAACACTGTTCTAAAAGTTGTAACTTTGTACTACGTCATACTCTCAAAAAAAAAATTAAGGGCGGGAAAGGAAGGTTTTTCCCTTAGTTGCAATCTTTTGTTTGGGCTGAAATTTATTATTACGATGTTACAGAAGCTGGGAACACCTTGCTTAACAATGCCTCCTCTAATGGCAGTAGCACACCAGTGATTACTGATGACGAAAGAGTTGATCTGAAAAGGTGGTGGGAGAGCAACAAGTGCGCCTTTTGTTAACAGAAACATAAAAATGAATGTTCTAGGAAAAGGCTGCCTAGCTGGTAAGGGACTTGTAAGTTTAGAAAGCACTGACACTCAGTGAGTGGAAAACTATGGGTCTTTTAAAGGTGAGATTTAGTGCGCTGATAGTTTTATGGGGTCCAGTACTTGTACAAATTAGTTTTTGCCGTGTTGAAATGCAGGATACAAGAATGAAAACTTGTATTTCAGAAGAGATCAGATTTTTGTGGAGTGTGCATGTATGCAGTAGTATTTGCTTTGTATTTGAAAATTTAACCTTTTTGAACATTTCAATAGAGATATGGTCTGTGTTCTAGGAGCTGGGAAGACAACTCTTCTAAATTACATACTGACAGAACAGCATAATAAAAGAATAGCGGTTATTCTGAATGAGTTTGGAGAAGGTATGTAAACCTGCAGAAACCTTTTTTAGCTGTAAAATGACAAATACGTAAAATTTCCAGAAATCAAGAACCCTGTGGTTTCAAATCCATTACTGAAACTGTTGACATACCTTAGAGTCTCCAGAAGGGCAAAGAGTCTTTTGGCTGGTGTTCATAAAATAAAGCTATGCATCAGTTTTGTACATAAATCCAGTCATTCAGAGTCCAGTAAATGAACATACCACTCTGTTGGAAGTACTGTACCTCCATATTTCCTACGCAGTTTCAAGCAAATGGAAACTAAAATAACGTGTCAGTAGATGAGATTTTTTTTCTTTCCTTTTGCCTCAGCCCCTTACAGATGACAAATTACCCTAGACCAAGAAAAAGGGGACATGTGTACTTGGTGTCTGTGGTCCTTTGAACTCTTTGCTTTTCTTCTCAGGATTTATAACTGTTATGGCTATAATTTAATATCTGTACCATAGTTGGTGTTGTTTACGGTTTGCACTGTGTTCGTGGAGCGGTTTGTTTGTTTGTTTTCATCCACGAAGATGCATGTTGCTTTTCTGGTTATGGAGCTAAAATAAAATGTATAGACAGAGCCTTTACTTGATAAAGAAGTAAAGGCTAATATACCTTTCTTCTGGCAAAGTTTGTGGCGCTTATGCTGCACTTTCATCCTCTGTGTTTTGGTCTTTGTAGAAACAATTTGACTTTGGCTCTTAAATTTCTCATAAAATGGAAAATAGTAAGTTCTGAAGAACATGTCAGAAACATGGTATCAGGAAAAAAAAATACAGTCTAAGCATAAAAATGTATACCAGCTTGAATCTTCCGTATTTCTTGTGCAGACATTGTCATCCTAATTTGTAGACTAAAATTCTAGTATGACTTGTATTTCCAGGAAGTGCATTGGAGAAGTCCCTGGCAATCAGTCAAGGGGGAGAACTCTATGAAGAATGGCTGGAGCTCAGAAACGGCTGCTTGTGCTGTTCAGTAAAGTAAGGAAGTACCATTGTATAGGTTGCTACGGTGGGTTTTGGGAGAATTGAGGGAAGGAGAAGGCATCCAGGGTCTGAGTCCTAAAACTGATGGTAGTATTGATTTGGCTGCTTTTGTCAGATAAACCGAGAATTGGAATTTGGGAGATAAAAGTTTATTTCCTTTTGCTGCCTTACTGAATTTGGACTTAGTGTCTTTCAGAAAAATAATCTAAATACCTACTTACACACCATTGGGGCATTGTAGGGCAAGGAGCTCTCCCACTTCTGTTAATATGATACACTTTTATAGAGAGAGCTGAAGGTTCAGGGAGGCTGGAACTAGGACTCCAGTTTCCTAATTGCCACATTACATACTTGGTCTGTGTTTCCTTCTCTCTGTGTTGGTTAATACTTGAATATTGTTGTTGTGTACCTTAGACAGGGTGGAGGGAGAGCCTTTTGGAGACCTAATGAAACAGAGTATACCAGATTGGAAGTTGATGATCATGTTAAAAAGCAGGAGTGTATTTGTTTCTTTGACATGTTTTTACCTTCTTTGTTTGAATGCTGGATTGTTTGTGCTAAGTTTGTAATAAAGGTGGTGGTCTCTCTGTCCTGAAAATTTGGAAGAACTGAGCCCAGGCTTTAAATTGGGATAGTAAGTTGAAAAGAGAAGAACCTATAGCATTGTGTTCTACTTGGACGTATGGAATGCTGCCATTTCTGCTGTGTGGTATAGAAATTGTTTTCATATGTAAAATGCCATACGTTTCTGCTTCAGTCTGACTTCATCAGCTGAGATCTAAGTGACATGTCCTAATTTTGCTGTAGATGTTGTGGAAAGGGTTCCCCTTACACCCTCCCTCCCCCCAGCTCCACACACCCCCTTTCTTTTTGTAATCTTAGCTGCCATTCCAAATAGTTATGTAGCCCTACTGTCCTTTACAGTGTTTTCAGTGTTTGAAAACACATCTTCACTTAAATCACTTTTATTAGGCGTGTCAGGAGTAGGCAGATAATAGTTTCATATTAAAATCAAACAGAAAACTACAGTTTACCTAGTACAAGAGCAGCGGCTTACAGTCTACAGTGAAAATTTGGTCGTCAAGTCCTGACTCACAACCTTTCGTTTGATGGTACTGACACTGTGTTCGGCATCAGAAGATACCTGCTTTTACATGTTTAACCTTGTTTTCTCTGTTCTCAGGTTTAATTGTTTCTTCTTACAGGGACAGCGGCCTGAAAGCTATTGAGAACCTGATGCAAAGGAGAGGAAAATTTGATTATATATTGTTAGAAACAACTGGTTTGGCAGATCCAGGTAATTCACATTATGATTTTCATAACCATGATAATTACTCTGTTTTTATGAAGTGCTTATTTGCTCACCAGTCAGTTCACTGTGCAAAAGAAGGGTATTATAAAGGGGTGAGTTGTCAGGCACATGCTTTGATTGCTGTGTAGGCTAAAACTGAATTAGATAATATGCAGAAACAGGGTTGTGGGTGGGGTTGAGTGTTTTGTTTTGGTGGGGTTTTTTTTTGGAACTTGCTCTAAATTAGACTTGTTCTAATTGGAGAAGTACACTCTGAAACTAGTAGTAGTTTTCAGTAGGCTTTTCCTGTTCTACATTGCTTCATGCTGGATCAATGGGCTGAGTCC